CTTTATTTATTCCCATCTCATCAGATGTGATTTGAAAACAAGAGTCTGCATTTCAAAGGCCTCCTTTCTTGTGCCCATTAATGGCCTGCTTTGGAATTTATGGCTTAAGAAGAGGAAAACCTCTTGATTTCTTTAAAAGAGATGTTGATTAAAAGTTTGATAACATTAGTAGATATTTTGGGATCTTATTTTAACTAGAGAACCCAAATTCAGTATGTTTCACTTTCACAGACTATAGAACTGCTTAAACAACAGCCATTTAAATTACCACATGAACAGGTGTTATGATTTATAATGTAAACTTAAACATCAAACACAAATAGCCTTTTGGGGATGGTCAGAAGACAAAAATCATGCCTGGGAGGCCTTTCTCATTCCTCTCATTCAAACAAAGTGATTAGTTAGAATATTGCAGCATACTATAATACATGAGGCTCTAGTATTCACATTGCCTGTTAAAGCCCTGCAAACATATGTATTACCTCTTTACTAAACACTTGAGATTAACTGTTCCTGCTCAGAAGACCTAAGGACTACTAGATGGAAATTTCATATAATAGGAACAATATGAAACATATATACACAATTCTTGTGTGTGCATGTTTTTATATATATATATATATATATGTATGTCTAAATACATGTATAATACATGCATTCTATAGACACGTATATCTGCGTACATGTATTTATATAAAATTCAAAGTATTAACTTAAGCGGCAAAACTGAATTGAGCTTCCGAGGTCCTTACTATAGAAACACACACCATGCAGATGAATGAGTGCACTCATACATGCACCTGCCCATATTCACAGTCCCTGTGGTCAGGCAGATGCCCGTATGATCCCTTTTATCCAGAAATCGTACAAATTCTGCACAATAACACATATCTGGCCTCAGACGATGAAGCATGTACGTTTTAAAGATAAACAGACAGATCCATAACCTGATCCAAACTTATACTGCCAAAATGGAAAAGGAAGACTGATTCCTGATTAAAAGTTAGGAGATGCAGAAAAAGGGAGTACTCCAGCTTATTCTAAAAATAGGAGAGAATTTATTTATTTGCCTATTTCTTTTTCCAGAAGCCAAGCCATACATTTAGAGGAAAGGCTACACAGATTTCAGAGATCTAATTTTCCAGAAGCGCAGGCCATAAATTAAAATACAGCAATCCAATCCCATTAATAGTGCAAGAAAAAGTTAAGTGGTTGCTTTGGTCTTTGCTTTCATGAACTTGTGTCAAGCTCAGTGACTTCAAAGAGATTTCCATTTCATTTCTACAAATGAGGAGAACAGACAGACAGAGAGTCTCTGCCATCCTCTGATGCCTTAAGAAAACAGAAGAAAAACATGCCTGTATCTCATTCGCCTAATGATTTTAGCTGCAAAAGGAATCCCATGGTCGGCAGATGACCCCCAGGGCAAGGGCTTGAGGTCTGTCACAGTATATAAGGCTTCTCCAAACCCACTCCATTATCTTCATTATTGTATACCAGGAATAAAAGGGGACTGACTCCTCTTCTGAAGTTCAAGTTAGAAAGGACAGAATGTTTCATGTAAAATAACACTGTGTGACTTCAGTAACAGGTTTATGCCTTTGGGGGCCTAATACTAAAGCTGCATATAAGGATTTTCCGCAGAATTTGAGAGAAGAAAAATGAGCACCGTATTAGCAATGAGTAAAATTCCGCAAGTTTTAAACTCACTGAAACACTCTATGTCTCTGTGTCAGCATGACTCATTGTCAATCACATGAATACAGCAAGAGTAAAATGGCAAGTTTAGGGGTAAAAAAACAAAAGAGCATGGCACTTTAGAGCTAAGTATAGACCCCTATGAAAACAAAAACCATACACATTGCAAAAAAAAACAACACATATGCAAGGAAGAAAAGGAAGTGACAAGCTTTTGGGAAGCTCTTTGGAATAAGTAGGTAGCATGCCTTCCTACAGGGGACATTAATCAAGGGCATATATACAACAAATCAACATGGAATCAATTCATGTGAAAAGTGATGCTTCCCTGTCAGTTCATGTTTGGGTACATATGTATGTGCTTACATACATGCATACATATATGTGTGCATTCATGAAGCCTGAGCAGTATGCTTCATAACACTGTTTCATAACAATCCTTCTTTACTGACAAAACTTACTAATTTTTACTCTCACTTCCTAAGAAATACAATTTAAGCAAATCATTTATTTTATATAAATGCAATTTGTTAAAAACAGTCAGACCTGTTATCAATATTTTGGAGTATCTCACTTGTCTTCAAAACCCATTTCAGAAAGAGAAGTTCTTTCCCTGACTGACAGGAGGTTTTGACCAAGACCTAAAGTTGTCTACTCAGCCCTTTTTTTTTCCAGTTTTGAAGAAACAGGCCATTTGAAAGGCTGCTTCAAAAGCACATTTCCCACAGTAATTCAGAAGACAATTTCAAACAATAAAAACAAAGCAAACACAGCCCATTGTACAAGTTAAATAATATATAAACTTTTGAGTACATAGAGAAATGGGAATCTGGCTCATATCGGGTCTTCGAAAGATTCACATGAAATTGATTTAATTAAACCTTGGCTACTGGTGCAAATGTTTCCTTTTCTTTCCAAAGGGAAATAAAGTATTGTGCTACTGTTGTTGACATAATGCACTAAGCTTAACCAGATTTCTGGTCTTCTCCTACAAAGCTCCACAAACTATCAGGACTAAAAATTATTACTGAAATACACAGTGATCATGCACTGTTGAATCGTTACCTAGATGTACTACCAAAGATTCCCACTTGTAACTTATCTTATTCATGGAGTAATTCATTAATATGCTAATTACCTGACTACCAACCAGTGATGACTGACAACTTTACTTTAGCACTACATGAAAAAGACATGACAATAAGTAGATTTTCTGCTGGAGTTCAAACAGAGAAGACATTGTGCTTGCAGTAGCACATACATTTTTTAGTGAAAAGGAGTCATATTTGTGGAGGAACTCTAAGAACAGTCTTGCCATCTGCACCCAGAAATATATATTTTTTTAATTAGCCACTCTAAAAACAATCATGTCGGCTGAAGGGAAGGGGGAGGGAGACTTGTCAAAATGACGCGTTTGTCCCTCACCACCTTTCAATGCTCTTATGCAAGTCTAATTTTCTTCCTAGCCAGCTCACCTCTCTGGCCTCCTTTTGTTTCATGTCCCATTTCCCATTCTCTTCTAACTTCTCAACTTTTGTTAGCTCGCTTTTAAGGAGAAAGAATAAAACCAACCCAACCCAACCCTTTCCTATTCATTTTTTCCTGGATGGGGAGTAAGCAGAGACATGAATATGGCACCCTCATAATGATTTAACTAGGGCTTAATGAAATTTTCATCACAACCTGCTGTTCATTTTAATGGCCTTTGAAAGACAATAGAACAATGGCTAGAGGGAAGAAAAGATTTTCTGTTGCATGCATTTGCAAAGCCCAACATTCAGTTGCTCTCCCTCCTCTCTCCCAGTCTCTTCACAAAGCTGTACATCTTTTGTTTGTACTGTACATTTTCATTTTAGTAGAGCTGAGATAATGCACAAGCTCTGTAACCATTCTCATATCTATCTGTAGCCTTTCCTTAACGGAGTCTGTGCAGCTTGTACAACCTCATACTCAGGAGTGTACTTATACATTGCCTAGAAACCCTTCTTCTTTCCTCTCATATAAAAAGCCTGATCTCCTTCACCCCACTTCATCCATACATAGGAAAGATCTTTTCCATTCAGAGTCACAAGGGAGGTCATGAAACTGACCATTAAGTCAAACTTTAGTGCAAAATGAAATGTTATGATTATACATAATATTAAAAAAATTGCTAAAACAAAGAATTTGTTTCCCAGCAGACCCTTACTGCATGCTCATTAAAGCAGAGAAGACTAAGTTGCAGTCCTCATGTCATACTCATGTATGTGACAATGTGGCTGTGTTTGTGTCGGTATTTTCATTTCAGCATGCAGGTTGGCCTAAACTTTCTTGAAGGTGCTATCAAGTCATACTTCAACACTGGGGTAGGCTCTGAGGGCCATGCTTTTAGACATTTGAAGTAGATTTCTGTAACAGAATAGGCAAGTATATAAGAAAGTAAAGTCTCACTACTGTGCACTAGGAAACAAGGCTCAGTACATTCACACATCAACTGGCTCACAGTCCCCTGAAAATCTCGCTGTAAATATGTATGCTGAATACCTATAGAGAATATAGTGAGAACTTCAACTTCCAGTCAGGGGTTTGATTGTGCCTCACATAGGCAAGAATGGAAAATCTTACTTAAAGAAAAGCTGTTCTGTGGCTTCTAAGAAGAGAGATGTTCTGCCTTAGTCTCAGCCCACAGAGCACAAGTGGAGCACGACTGAATATAGAGTCTCAAAAGAAATGGATTCTCCAGAGACGATACCTATATATGCCAATATTGAAACTTGGTGGCCAGACATAATGCACAGAAAGCCTGTACTGTGCCTGTTTGTATAGTACCTGCACTACAGATAAACAGAGGCTGAGGTGATAGCACATTCCATACAGAAGCTTTAACAAATTCCAAATTTAACTTCTTACCTTTCAAATAATGACACGCCTACTAGACGGTTTCTCAAAAACACTGACATTGCTGATAACTCTGCCTTTTGCTTTGGAAATGAGGAAAGAGAGATCAGTGGTGTAAATGACCCCCAGGCTGTTAAAATTACAGTGTTCATGTTGAGGAGGTTGCTGTGTCTATTGCAACTGTGACAAAAAATCCACTATGTCAGACAAAGGCTCTCATTTGGGAATAGCTAAAAATGTTAGCTATGATGGGATACTGATGAAATCTTTAATGTAGACAAGAAATAGGAGTTCTTTACTTCAATTCTGGTATTAAGAAAAAGCAAGCGGAGCAGAAAATGGGAAGATTAAGAAGTATATATATCCAAAGAATCTGGAGAAAAGAAAACAAAACAGAAAATTTTGGCCAGTTTCCTAGGCCTTACCTTCTGGCTCATTTTTGATGAGCTCTTCCATTTTTCTTTGCTTAAGGGTGTCTACAACATCCGCTAGGCTCCCTTTGCGCCTTTCAGGGGTTCCCAGGGCTGTGCTGGACAATGACTCTCCACTCTGACGCCCACCTTCTTCTGCCTTCAAGGGTGAGGTAGATGAGTTGTGCGGGGCAAATGAAGACATCACTTTATTGCCATCAACTTCCTGAAAGGGAAAAAAAAGCCCAAGATGAAACACTCCTTTCTTTTCTTAAAGCAGAAAAAAATAAAGATGGAAAGAAAGAAAAATCCTTTGTTCTTTGAGTTCATTGCTGTTTGTTCTTCTGTTGAAGCCTTTAAAAAGGCATGCAATGCTTCAAAAACACCCAGAACAAAGCCTATCCATAAAGCATAAACTAAGATTACAGGCTCAAGTGAACAAAGATCAGCTTGCAAGAGAAAAACATATATTACAGTTTCTCCCTAATTGAGAAGTGTTGTACTCATGGGTTTCCTAATAACAATGGTATTGATTACCTTTAATTGTTTGTTCTTTTGCAGCTTTCTTTCAAAAAAGTCTTCAATTTTTACAAGGACCATTAATTTCCTGATTTTATAAAGTACTTAATGCCCTGATAGTTAGTTCTTGTGTAAAATGAAGTAGTAACCAATACGAAATGCCTTTCATCATATGACTTCTTTTAACTCACAGTTCAAGGAGTTCTCCATCTATAAATGGTGAAGCAATTGCTTATTGTTTTCTAATTCTCTTCCTATGCTCCTCTTCCATTTCATACTTTTATTTTTTGTAGAGACATCATTTCTCACAAAGGTGGTTCTAATGACTTTCATTAGTGGCACAGTGGCAAAACTGTGATCTCCTGGAACACAATCCTCCTCACATGAGAATCCATAGAGATCTACTCATTAATTTTAATGGAAAGCAAAACTGGTCCATTGCCTTCAAACTTGCATTCATTAATGTAAGAGCCTTCTACTCCATGCCTCCCACAACATAAAGCAACATTTTCTACACATATTCCTTTTCCCTTTTATGTCACTTTTATACCCTACCTTTCTGTACACATCTCTGAGAACCTGCTAACACACACTGTTTTGCAAAACTTAGGTCAATGTCTTCGAACAAATCTTTCTGCAGAGTACGTACACTCCATAATACAACGCTGTGAACAGGAACATTTTTCACTTTGATCAGATTCTCCAGATTTTTTTTTCATCATCCCATTTCCTTGCATTTTTGTATTTCAGATGCTTAATGAGTATTACTTCTAGAAAAGTCACAGGACCATCTTGTGATCTGATTTACAGACGTGGATAAAAAGGTCTTAATAATTTTTAAATTGTTTTCATTTTATAGAGTATGAAAGCAACAGATATACAGATTTTAGTGATTTGTGCTTATTTTTTTCCTGGGCAATTTTTGGTGTCTCTGGTTTAATAAACCCTAATATTTCAGGAAAAAAAAAAAAAAAGTGTCTTTTCATAAACAGAACACAAATTGCTAAAAAATTATCTCATTAAACTTAGAATAAAGCAACATGGAAGACAGGAAGTAAGAATGTGTTTGTTCTGCCAAAACAAAGTGTCCATGAAAAAGATTACCTTTGGTTAAGAAAACTTTTAGTACAAACAGTTTTGAGCAGCTTGAATGTGTTGCACTAGTGGATAAATTCCCTAACAGAATCGGATTTAATTGAGATTACAATCTGGGCCATCATATGCCCCAAAAGCCAAACCCAGTGATGTTAATGAGAGACTTTCTACTGACGTCAATGAGCTTTTGACCAAGCCCTAAAAAATTTTCCGACTCTAGTCAACAGAAATGCTCCTTTTTTCCTTGTAACTCCTTCCATTTCTGTTCTGCACTTGAAAAATTACTAGTTGCTAACATTGGACTTCAAAAATGAGTTGAAGTTAAATGTATTTTTTTTTTCCACATACATAGACCTGAAACTGTTTTTTCACACTGACCTAGACAAACAAAAGTGTTAAACTTCAGCATCAGTTCAGATTTTATCTAACATTCAAACCCATTATTACCAAGTGGCAATTTTTTTTCTACAGACAAGGCCAAAAGAGGAAATAATCTGGAAAGCTGCTTTCTTATTCACACTTTGAGGACTGATGAGCCAAATGTCACCCCTACAGTTCTTAAATGCACCTATACCATCTATTATGTATACAAACAGTATCATTCCTTATTTTTCCAGGAACTAGTTTCTTGTTTTTTTTCCAAAGTGGGTCCCAAAGACACTCGTGTTTCTGTGTATGTCACACACTGGTCACAGATACAAAGTACTTGAAACAGCTGCTTAAACCTCAGGAATCATCACTGCTCTTACCACATACATTTTGGGTATATGTAAGTGGGTTTATTTGTATAAATACATTATGAGTATGAAACAAGTTTGTTAAAATAGAAGAAGCATAAGAACATAAGGATTGAGTGACACATAAAAGTAATATAAGGTGACTGTCAAAATCACAAATTGCTTGGCATTCAAATAGAGCTCACAAGTATTTTCAAAACTACTAAAATTTCCCTGCCTCTATTTCTGGGGAAAAGGAATCATGAGGGGGAGAGGACAAGAGAGTACTTTGTGAGTAAAACATCATGAACACACTCTGGATATTCAATTCTAGTTCTTTCACATGTTCTGCACAAGCATGGAAAAATTCACTTTTACTTCTGCAGTTTAGTTTACTACCTGCAAAATAAGCACAAAAAGAAGTAACTTTTAACATTATAAAGGCTTTGAAATTATAAATTCATTAATAACCTAGAGGCATCCTGCTGAAAGTGTATCTGCAGTGCCACAGTTAAGACAACTTCATAGCTGGACAAAAAAGGAAAGGGGAGTGCTTTACACAGATTTTTTAAATAGATAAATTATATATTAATATATACATCTAAGTAATAATTCCCAAAACAAAATGTTTCCTTAGACTGCTCTTGTTAGGTGTGCAGTGTTTGCGTATCACATACACAGGCTATTTATACACTTGTGGGGTTTAAGATATACTCCACTTAATCAAAACACATATACAGTAGGGGAACAGCTGCAATCACATCTCAGTGGGCTAAATTACAGTACACCAGTGAATTATTCATTCAAAAAGATCTGCGGCAATCACACATACATTGCGTGATTTGCAATCTAACAGGAATCCTTTCCTTCCCATACCAGCAGATTAAGTGCACGCACCAGCTAGTGCTGTTGATGAGAGTTCAACATGTATCCTCTAGCACACCAGCTCAAGCATGTTTTCCCCACATCTCCACAATCTTTTTATTCTGTCATTCAGAACAACATGAAATGCTCAACTATTATCTTGTCTTCCCTTTTACGTCCCTCTGTTTTATTTTTTCTCTTTCTTATACTATTACTGGGGAAAATGAAAAAAACTTTCAATGGTTCTGGATTTTTACTTTTAGCATGTACAAAGAAAGGGTACTTCCATATAAAAGCTACTCATGTCAATGGTTGTATAAAGCTAAAAAACTTCGAGCGAGGAAAATCCTCTGGTATTACATATGAGAGTTTAACTATCCCTCTGAAAACACTCAAAGAAATCCTTAATGGCAATAAAGATACACGAGCAACACTAAAATTAATCCCCTGAGAAGGAACTTTCCTCCCGATAAGTGAAATTCAGCAGGTTCCTTTTTTGAAAGGCCAAATTCACATGTTTTTTAGTTACTCAGAGAAAAGCAGCAACACTGCAAAGAGTATTAAAGAACCTAAATGCCTACTGCTGACATTTTAAAGTCAAGTCCATCAAGCCACACATAAGACCTATCAGTCACAGAAACAGTGGAAAAACAGTCTTTTACAGAAGAACAGACTCTTAGCTGCATAACCATTTCACCTGTTCCAAGTTTGATTACATTCCAGCCTCTAGCACTGTTAATCCTGGTAACAGTTTTATGCAGTTAGCAGCTGCTTCGTGGATGGGACTCTATTGTTCATTTGCACTGCGAACTGCTCTGCTGATGTGAGCTGGCACCTCTGACTGAACTATGAGCTGGGACTGTACTCACCAACACCTGATGCTGCTGCTTCTTGCTTTTCCCACTTCAGAAAGGCAGACAAGGACCTACACAAATCAAACTGCTGAATCGAACACCCTAGGCTGTTCTTTCCTCCCCAACACCAACAAAACTAAGCACTGGCCCACATTTCACGTCTTCTGCTTCTCTTCCAAGCTAGAATCCACAGGAAGACTTGTTCCTTTACAAGAAAGTTGCCAAACAGCTTTCCACCTATGGAGGAACTACTTCTTCCAAGGTTTAATGATAAAACAGGCTTCTGCCCTTTCAGGATGAGGTCAATAATCTTCCTTTGTTAATCTTGGGCAAGCTTTACGTAATCTAGCCCCCTTGTCACCTTTGTGATTGACAGGAAAAGTCATGTCACCACACAATGGACTTATCCTCACTAAGCAATATCTTTTTTAAAGATTACACAATGTTACAATTGCTCTCATAAAAAGTGCAAACATTTTGCTGTTAAAAGAAACTATTCATTCCAACTGTATCTTTCAAACTGTCTCTCTCCTTTTCCAACCGAAACCTATTTCAGTTCTACAGAGAGACAGTGAAAAGCTAATGAAAAGAAACAGGTTATACTTCGCGAGATTTCCAAAATATCTCTTAGCGCTCTAAATAGATCTCACCTTCTCCTTTCTCATGTAGAGATGCACATTATTCCTGTCTCCAATTAAACTCAAGACAGAAAAGTCTTGTTCCTGTGACATTAAAATTGTGTCCCAAACCAACCAATAATCGAAGCAGAAGAAAACTCAGAACTAAGTCTGAAACTGTTATTACTACCATATGCTACGTAAGGAGGCTGCATCTGCAGGAAAAAAAAAAAAAAAAAAAAAACCACAAAAACACGATTATGAGAATCAAGCTTCTGGCTCTGCAGCCAGAAACACCTGGAATAAAAAACTTGTGCCTTTAAAACAAGTACTGATATTGTTGGATTGTAAGAAGCCTGTGATCCTAAAAGCAACCTAACAGGTTCTTTTTTTCAAAGCTGGAATTTTGCCCATACTTTGCTCTTTTAGAATGTGTAAAGTAGATACGAAAGCAAATTTTTTGCTCCGCTTTCTACATCAGACATGTAGCCTATCTGTTTTATAGTCTCCATAGTGACCAGGAAGCTGGTGACAGTATGACATAAGAGATAATCAGAAAAT